TCTCTTGAATTAACGAAATAGGCACTGATGGTTCTTCTCTCATCATACCTGCATGTATGATTGTAACAATAGGGGAGTTTTTCAATTTGTTGGGATGTAATAGTACAAAAATTAGTATATTTTTTCTATTTCAAAATAATAAATTTAATATAAGATTTGACATACCAAGAATGCATGAGCAAATAAATTTGGAATCCAACTTTTGGTGGTCTTGAGAGATTGAAGCATGTACGCACGTATGGGCACCACCTCACTTTGTAATTTTTCACTTGTCTGCATTTTTTGGTAACGATGCTCGAACTCTCCAGGGACATCCACTATTATAATTGACACACTTCACAATATATGTTGTTGGTTTTGACTCCAACACAAAAAAATTTTGATGTTTCCTTATGGCATAATGTTTTATAGTCATTCTTATATCTTTTTTAGTGTCAAATAGTTGTCCAACATATAATGCATCTCTTTTCTTCCATGATTTCGCGTCATTCATACCAAGAAAATGTAATTCTTGATCAAGTTGTTCCCAATTAATATGACTGTAATCTAAGGTTATATTCCAAAAAGGCAATGTAGTTTCTGCATTACAATAATTCATTCGTCAAATTTATACCCTCATTAACAATTTATATATTATTACAGACGTAAGTTATGAAAATCTATCTTTTAAATCACTATCTAAAATCATACCTCTATGTTGTTGTTGCGTTAAACTCTTACAATACTCTCCATATTAATCATTGAATCACAATCATCATCTGTCTCAGTATCAGAAAAATTATTTAATGAAATATCTTCATATTCATCTGTAGATCGTACATTGTAAACTTATATTATTACTAGTATTTACAGTATCAATTTTAAAAATTTAAAATTATCAACTTCATATTACCTTCTCTTGTTGCATAATCATCATCATCATCACTTCCATGATTGAGTGAGAGTGATAAATTCACTTCTAATGGACATGCCACAACAGAAGATGTTTCACCGACTGCAACATCGACATATATCTCAACTACATTCCTATGATGTGGTTGTTGACACGCACTTATCATGCAATCTATGTCTTCATCGTCACATACATCTAAAGTTGTATAGTATCGATCATTTGTCCAAACTAAAATTTGTGAAATTAATCTAGAAATTACGTGACAGCTAGACAATTTTAATTTTGTGTAGATCTTCATTTTAAACATCTCAAGTGTGATCCCTCGTTCTATCTTAATCATCTTTTTCTCTCCTTCAAAAATTATACTCTCATTTCTTTCATATATTCTACCATTTGAATATAATATAACAACATTTTCATTCATCCTACATTAAAAATAATTCAAGCTTATTTAAAAATTAATTTATAATATAATAAAATCATATTTAAAAATTCATTTGTAATTACAAATATTTAAATATTTAATTTTTAACAATATATTTTATCTGTCTTATTTTCAAACATAACAAAAAAATTAAATTACAACATTAACACTTAAAATATTATCCAAATATAAATTAAATATTATTATTCAAAAAAAAATTCTTAATAGCAATTAAAAATAAATTATATATTTATAATGCTTAAAATCTAACCTTATTGCTCTATGATTGCTATTTTTTGCCGAGCTCCACACTTGCTATTCGTTCCCAGCTCCACGGTTATTGTGTGAAGGTTTCATATTTATACACATTTAAATTTGAATAAAAGAATATATCAAAATTTTTATCCATCGGTCACACTAGAGTCGTTTCTGTTTTGGATACTACTAAACTCATCCCAAACATGGATGACACAAGTTCCTAAGACTACATGTGTCAACATGTCATGAATGTCGACTACTAATGAGATAATACTCTCACATTTGGCCACGTCATCACATATGTCGTGGACGATTTTGTTGCCATGTTATCCATCAATCCCATACCAGGAATTTATTTTCAGGCAACCCTAATTTGATAATTTTTTTTTTAAAATGACTCTAAAAAAGTAAAAAATCCCACAAAATCAGCCTTAATTAAAATGTGCTAGCCGTAATACACAGCAAGGCACCATCTTATCACACACTTATTTTTCTTAATTTTTGTTAATTGTTTTGTTTTATTTTAATTTCTAAAATAAAATTCAAGTAAAATTTAAGTATTCACATTTCGTAATAATATTTAAATAATAATTCTTACATTTCATCTCCTTCTACTTTGATCATTAAAATATCAGCTAAGCTATAATAAAGTTTAACATCGTACTGATCGTTTGGCAGATACATTTATACAAAGTTGGAAAGGGAAATTTCGTTGGTTGATTTGGACGGATTGCTGCCCATGATTTTCTTTTTTAAAATAATTTCTTCCCATCAATTTCTGGTTCCATAGATATGTTCATAACTATCTGGACGATAAAAAAAATTTATAAACAAAATCACATACCTGCATATAAATTTGTAAATAGCTGATAAATATTTTTAAAATAAATATTAAATAAAAAGTTGAAAAATCCCTTTATATATATGCATACAAGAATTTAAACTATTAAAATCTTTTAGGATGGCAAAAGAGATAAGTTGAAGCTAAGTTTATGGAGGATATTGATGCCGTCGTAATGCAAAATATGTCCTGGTGACCACTTACAGTTCACCAACTACGAGTTTTTAGTTATTCATGTGTTTTTATTTGTTTTGGGTCACAGTATATTGATGTCTTGATATAGACATTTAAAACCTTTGTAAAAGCTGAAAAGAGAAAAAAAAAACGTTTTGTTAACGAAAGAGATGAGTGACAGTTAAGTTTACGGCAGATGCCACGTTAAATACAAACGTTTGACGCTATAACACCGAAAACGAATTTAGGTACATGATGTCGACATTATATGAGAATGATCCCTCTCATGTTTTTCTCCCCATATACAATGTATTGAATGAGACACCCTTTGCTATGTTAGAATAGAAGAAGTAATTTTTTATTATTAAATTTTATCATAAATAATTAAAATATATAAATTGTGAGTTATTTAAAAAGACATATAACTTTTTAAAAATAATTATAGATTTTTTTTAATTTTAATCATTATGTATGATTATTTAATTTATGTTAACTTTCTCTCTCTCAAATAAAAAACTCTTTTCACTAGATACAATTATTTTTCTTCTCCATGTGTATATACAACCACACGCCCACCTTCTAACTAGTCCCTTTCACTGAATGAAGATAATTTGAATAGTAATACGTCGATTATATAGCTTGTACGATAAACTATGTTGGTTAACTTATCTTCTAGAACTATATGTTGAATTTAAAAAGTGAATCTGTTTGTTATAGTTATGAACATATAATTACTTGCACACACAATTTTTAGGTTTGATTTGTAAAGTTAATTACAGAAAAATAAATGATTTACCATGGTAAATTGTTGTAATTTCTTTAATTTATTTTATAAGACATATTTTTAAAATACTTTAATAGTTTCTATTATAATATATTATATATTTTTTATAAAATATAATGATGATAAAATAAGTTTATACCATGAAAAAAAATATCAAAGAATAATTTTGAGTAGTTCAAATTGTTCTAATAAGTTTTGCTATACAAAATAAATGTATTTGGAATGCAAGTATTACTTAAAATATAATGTATACACTAATAGAAGTTAGTTTGAGTGGTAAGCAACTTGATATTACTTAAGTAAAGTGTTTAATATTATTTAAATAAAGTTTCAGGTTTGAGTCTTTGTATATGTAAAAAAATTTAATAAAAAAAAAGAAAAAAAAGTTATCATACATTGTTATCTAAAGTTTATTTATTTAAAGAGTGGCTATCTAAAGTATAAACTATAAATTTAAAATTTATTCTTTTGTGAATTTTTTATTATAAAATAAAATTTATTTATTATTATCTTTAAACTTAAGTTTTATGTTTAATATTTAAAAAATATGTGAATTTTTTTATTATAATTCAAAACTGAATTTATTTTTATTTTTTTGTTGAAACTCAATTTTGTATACTATGTTAACCAAACAGTGTATAGTGTATGTAATAAAACACGGGTAAACTAAAAAAATTAAAATAATAAAATGTTTCATTATCAATAAAAAGAAGAAAAAAAAGACGAAAAAATAGTATATTTAATTATGAAAGAAATAAACTATTAGTAGAGAAAACATAATGTGAGTTATCCTTATATGATTTTATAAATTATAAATTATTAGTTTTTTAAAATTTTAATTTATGAGAGAATAATAATTACTTTCTAAAATTATCTTCAAATAACGATTATATTATTACGCTCGTAATAAAAAAATACATTAATTCTAGTGGCTATCAAGCTATTACTTGTATGAACAAAATATTGTAATTAATTGAGTTACTCTACTACTTATCATGTTAGAAGAAAGATAAAAAGATGTTAACATATTAGTGGATTATTTTTTTCTATGTAAAGAATTATATATGTTGCAAGTTTCTCTATTTTTATTTTTATTTGTATAAAAATTTAATTTAAATAAAAAAAACTACACATGCAATCGGCTGACTTGGAAGAGACGAAAAATTGAATTTAAAATTTAAAAAAAGTACATACACGTATAAAACAATTATAAATTTATTAAACTCTTAATTATAACTTGTAATTATTTGTGTTACTCTACTGCCTATGATGTTAGAGGAAAGAGAAAAAAAAAAATTTGTCTTAGTTATGTGATGTATTATATATATTGCGAGTTTTTTTTTTCACTTGTATAAAAAATTAATTCAAATAAAAAACAACTATACATGCGATTGACTGATTTGGAGGAGATGAAAATTTAAATTTAAAATAAAAAAGCATACAAAAACGTGTAAAACAATAATAAATTTGTTAAACTCTTAATTATTATTATTTTCAAATGACGATGATTATACATACCATACTTTAACCTCTACATCTCACACTTTAGAGGAATAAAATCATGAAAAAATTCTATCAAATAATATGCCTATAAAAAAAAAATATTTTGGCTTCCAAGATACAGTTTTTAGTTCCGTCTCTTTGCTATTAAATTAATGTCATCTTTGACACTATAAATAACTAAATCTTCATAATTATTAATTGAGATCCCTGTGTCTTTGAGGGCAATGGGTTCAATTATCAAGGACCGTATGCGATTCTTCGCGGAGCTATCTGGGGCTCCATGCCCATCTCCATGCTGATATGTGCATTGAGAAATTCTTGCAAGGTTCATAGCTATTTCCACGAAAGGTTTTGGAAAAGGAGAATGTGTGATTCCATCTTTGTTCATCTTCTTCCATGTTTCATTAAGCAAATTGTGGATGTGTTTATAAGCACTCTCTTCGCTAACACCACTTTCACGCATGTAACACAGAATCGAGCTTGCTGCTTCACCTCTGTTTAATTCCGCCTACAAAGTTACAACACAAGCAATTATCTACTTAGAGTCTCTCCTATCTCAGTTGCACCTCTAATTTTAAATTATTAACTATCCGTTTAATATAAAGTTAGATAAAAATTAATTTTAAAGTATTTATTATGATAAAAAATGTGTTTAAATAATTTAATTAAAATATGTGTAAAAAAGTTTCATTGTCATTCAATAATAAATTACATGGTAGGAAGAATCATTGATTTTTATAATAACTAATCTGAAAATATTTATAATGACAATTTATTAAAATTAAGCTCATGTTTAAATTAATTTAAAGCACACATTTTTTTTGTTAAAATATATTTATTTATTTTAAAAAAGTAAAGTTTAATTTTACAAATTTAAAACAAATGGGACCATGCATGGGCATATTGTAACAAATTAAAAATGGCAAGGTTATGCAAATCACCTTTGAAGTACCCAAATCATTGCAAAGTCGAAAAATAATGGATGGTGTCTTCAAGAGGGCATGGTAATTGTCCAAGGATTCAAGTGCCTCTTTTGTTATGTTGTGATTCAGCAAGAAATAGGCATGGGTTAGTATAACAACACCTGAGACTGATACCCACGCATTCTTCAGGTAATCGTCAAAGTTTGGCAAGTGCTTGTCCCGGCACCACTTGGCTTCTTGCAGGAACGCTTTCAACATTACAGTCCACTACACAATTGCCAAAAACAAATATTAGCATGGCGCTAACTTGTAGACATGATTAATGAAATTAATAATTATGATAATGGATTTCATCCATTCGTTCTAATAATTTCATTTGAAAAATGTTTAGTGGGTGTGTGCACTTTGAAGAGATAAGAATAAAAGAGAAAAATATATATAATGGGTGATGTAATATGACATTAAAAAATAAAAAGATATAAAAGATAAAGTTTAATTTAGTGCACTATTAATTAATTTATGTGAATGTAACTTTAAACTCAATTATTACAAAAGTTAATGATTTTTGTTGATATGTTAATTCAAATTGAATGAAAGAGTGCGGTGTTAATTTGCACATACTGCTTTGGTGAGGTAGGGAAGGATATCTTGTTCTTGCTCTTTAAGCGCGTCATAAGCAAATTCATTGACAGTGTTGTAGAGTGCCAGAAAGCATATCTTCATGTAATCCGGCAGAACATGAACTGCTTTAACATCCCAACTGAGAAAGAGAAATTAAATAATAAGAACATCAATTAATAGTACAATGAACATTATGATGAAGAAAATAATAATCTAATTTAAAACGGTGTTAATGAACAAACAAAATTACCTTTCAACGGCGGCTGTGAAAAGCTCTAACTCGTCTAAGGTGCCGTACACATCATAAACGTCATCGATCGTAGTTATTAGGGAAGTGATTTTGGTTAAACCTTTGCGGAGATCACTGAACTGAGGTTCAAAAACCATTCCAACCGTCCAAAAGAAGCATTCCATTAACCTATCTCGGCTAAAGCTTAACTTTGAGGCCAGTCCCATCCCTTTCCACCACCTTCAATTCATTAGTATGGAGTTATTAATTAAACTAGAGTTCATGTACAATCATGAAAATATACATTAATTTGTTTTTATTTAATAAATTGTTGGAAAATATTCAAAACTAAAGACCTTATGATATATATAAAAATTAACCAAAGGTTGGAAATTTAACAATTCGTGATTACAAGAGTGATTAATGTTTGATGTTACTGCTTTTTATTTTATTTTATTTTTTTCTTTGATAGGTGTCCCTATAAGTGGAAACGTAGTTAAATTGTGATGTAACTGTGTCCATACCTGTAGTTAAAAGAAAAAGACTTGTTAATTCAGTCAAATATACTTGTTTTTTATATTTTTAATATAAATGATAAAACATGCATAGTTTAAGGGATTAATTTGGTTAACCTCCTCAAAATAGTAGATTAACTGAGATTTTTATATTTATTAACGACTAATTCGCTTGACTTTTCATCAAAATGTGGATCAGATTTCAATATAAAATTGAGACAGATTCGCTTATCAAACTATATGTTTTAAAAACTAAAATAATTGAAATGTAGATACTTAAGTTATTTATTATTATTAGTCTAATTAAAAGTTTTTAAAATAACTTTTTGTAAGGTGGACCCGCCAACCCGATAATTTACTTTTCATTTTTGGTGAGTAGCTTGTGCTTTATAGACACACTCCTAAAAAGTTGAGTTTATAAATTTGAGCGCATTTTAAAAAACAACACCACTAGCATTTTTAAGTAGAGCCGGTAAAATGGGCTAGGGTTGGGCCCAAAAAATCTATTAAATGGGTAAGTTTGAGTTTTAGAAAATAAAGCTCAAAATTACCTTCAACCATTTTAGTTCGGTCTAAATAAATCCAGTACTTGATAGGGTTTTAATCAAGTTGTCTCATGCGAGTTCGAGCAGCCCGTATATATATATTGAGATTAAATCTTAAATTTTAAAGAATTTGAAAAAGAATATATTTTAGTTTTAAAATCTTAAAATTACAAATTTAAATTATATACTTTTGCAGCGCTATAAAAACAATTAAAAAAAAGAAACCAGTGGTCTTTTACAACTTAAAAAAAATAGTATAATACAAAAATTAGACATAAAAAATAAGTGATCTATTAAGTTTTTGTAAAAATAGCTTAACATGATATATTATAAACACTAAAAATAACAATAAAAATAATAATTTGTTGTTATAAAAATAATAAAAAAATGACATATTATAAAAATAAAAATTATTTGAATTGTCGAATCAACCTGCATAAGCTTGTAGCCCGTATAAAATAAAGTTTGAGCAATAAAAATATATTTGAGTCCGCTATCCGTATCAGGCTGGACCGGGCCGGCTGCCCTTTTTACAGCTCTATTTTTAAGGGCTATGCGCACGTGACGACCCTTAAAACATGCAACATAAAGTTACCTTGACATTTCTTGGAGATCATTTTGCAGTGTTGACTGCACAATGTTAAAATCCAATTTGGCAGCTTCAAGCAGCACCCCGTTTGCGTTCTTTCTTTTAGCATAAGATTCAACATACCATCGTGCTTCAAGCCTTTGGATTCTAAGATGCAATGGAAGCTCCAATGCATGATTCACTTCCTCTACGAGGATACTGCTGCTTCTACCTTGGTCGAGGTTCTTAAGGTGAAAGCTAGTGAAGGCCTTAGCCTCATCCAGAATCTGTTCTCCTTCGTAACCCAGAAACGATGCCTCGTACAAACTCAACATGCCTTTTACATCTTTGCTAAGACTTGCCTTGAAATTACCCTCGTCGTCCTTGAACCTCTCAAATATATCTGCATGATTAAATAATCAATTGGAAACTCAATTTTGTTAAAAAATATTTATACTTTTCAACAACAAAAATTATTCGTTAATTTCTTTACGAGTCTTATTTTAAACGTCTATATTTTCTTGGTTGACATCTTAAAAATAATTAAACTATTCTCACTTTTTCTATTTACTTTTTCATCCTTTTAATTTTTCTATTGTTTTTTTTTTTCACACCATTGAATGAATCATGACTCTTACCCGCAAGAAATGATTGCATGATCGAAAATCATATGGTCTCAAAGTATATGACGCATATAAATTGTAAAATTTAGACATGGGAAGTTGAACAGCAGACCATATGTTCCAATCGTACAAAAATTTATCATTTTTTAACCTCTCTCTTCCCTACAGCCACCCACACCACCCCAAAGATAAGACTATCACAGCACAATTATTCCACAGTCCCCATGAGCTGGGGAAATGTACGGAACCATCTTTCACCCTTCCTGGTCCTGCCATCAAACATGGCTATTGATGTAATCGTAATTTAATTTAGTTGGCATTTTATATTAAAAAAATTATTTGAAATAAACATAAAAATAATATATAATTCAATTTAATTTAAATATATTAAATTGAATTAAATTAAATTATTTTTTATAAATCAATTTGATCAATTACTTAATTTTCATTTTTAATTAACTTATTCATATGTTAAATTTAATTTTATTAATCTGGTACGATTTAATTTAGGTATTTTATTCATTTTAAAATTTTTATATTATTTTTATTCGCATATAACTTTTCACATAATAATAAGTGATTTAGTCATGTTAAAGATCCAAGTGAATTTATTAAAAATAAATAAATAAATTTTCAATATTTTAATATTAGTTTAATAGTTTAAAATGATTTGATTGGGTTTATAACATCTTTAAATTATTTATAATATACGCATATACCTGTTGTGACATCATAGCCATATTCTCTGAGGAGCCTGAAGCTTAAAGCAGTTTCATGCAGGCTTCTGCGAACAATTGTAGTATTACATCTTTCGAAAGAGAGAAACCTATCGAGTGCTTCTCCTATTTCCTTTTCAAAGCGGTAGCTAAGGCCTAGTCGTTTCACATCATCAATCAGCTCTAATTTGGCCCACATCTCTGCATTTTCATCCATAATCATTGCCCTCACTTCCTCATGCAGCTTCCTGGCCTTGTCTTCATATCTTACATCCTATTTATTATTTATATAAAAGAGCAAGTCAGGTGAGTAACATAGAAAAGGGTCAATAAGTCAAATATATATCTAGACTCAGAGACACAAAATATATATAATAAGATGATTTAATCACCGCATAGTCAGGCTTCAAAGACTGCAAAAATTCGTAATTCCATAGGTTAGGCTGGTAATTGGCTGATTTTCTTTGAGAAACGCTTGTGGTTGCGTCACATCGGAGGGGGGAAATAATTCTCTGTGGGAGAAGATTAGGCCCTTTGGGTTTCTCAAGTTTGCCAAAACAAGCATGTGAAATGAAGCACGAATTGAGCAACATGGGACTGACGTGGGTCATTTTCTTAGATTGCTGATGCTTGCAACTTGCAATTGATGTTGGGGGTGATAACACACGTATATATAGCCACTATAGACCTATAATTTAATTTGTTTCACGTTTTATGTGTGTCACTGTTTTATATACAAATGTCAAATTCCACTAAATTCGCATCCGTGGACGTTTAATCTAAATATCATCATCCGCTTCACGACGGTACCTGTCAATTAAAACAAAGAAATAAAAAAACTTTCCTAATCCACGTGGCTGTCAAGAAATATACGGAGTATAAACAAACAAAAAATGTTTTGGTATTATCTCTCGTTTTATTTATAAAATAATAATTATCAATATTTTTTGTATTCAGACTATGAAAAAACAAAAATTTCATTTCAAATTTATTATTTACATATTCTCTTTATATGTTTATTTATCGATTGTACCATTTGTGTTATTAAAGTAATTATTCTTTATTTGTATAAATTAATAAATTTATTTAATACATAAAACACTAAGTTATATTATATTCTTAAAATAAAATATAATTTTATGATATATGATTATTTTTTATTAATTTTATAAATTATAATTTTTTTAAAAAAATATAACACAAAAATTGAATTTAAATATTTACATCATTTCATAATTTTTATAAAATACGAGATTAATTAATTTTATTGTTAAATTTTTTAATTATCTTTATAATATGTATATTAAATTTTATATAATTTATATATTTATAAATATATTATTTAAAATTTGATACTTATTTATATTTTAAAATATATATAGATTGAAATTATGTAATATAATAGATATTTATTTATTTTATTCTTATATAAAATTTAATAAAGTTAGATTACTTGATAATAATTATTAAATTTATATTTTTAAAAAATTATTAAATAATATAAGTATTTAAAGAGTAACATGGTAGGTACATCCCACACTTCCAAACTAAATCCTCTATAAATTCGTTTATAGAGGATAATCTCCGTTATTTATGACCGGTCATGTTCTCAGTGTGCTGGCATGTCTCATCGTTTCTCTTATGCCTATTACCTTTTTGAGCTTCTATCATTTTTGGCTGGCAAAGCAAAACTATCGATGATTTTGTTTGGTTTTGGTAACTTTTTTTAAAAACAAAAGGTGTGTTGCATGTAATGTCCTAACAGAACGACAAAATTAATTAAGAAAAATATATTTTAATTTTTTACAGATAAAATATTTTTTAAATAAGTTATAGGAGTCAAAATTAATTTTTTTAAAAAAATCTTTAAAATAAAAAATAAATTCAAAAATATTTTAAAAAATATTAACACTTCCAACATAAGTTTAAATAACAGTTGTTTTAGATTAATTAGATAAGTTTATTATAATTTTAAAAATATTTATTTAATTTTTAAACAATAATTTTTGTTATTTTTATCTTTAAAAAAAGATAATTTATTTATTAAAATATTAATTATTTAATAAAAGAAAATTTTAATTTTAATTTTTTTACTTAATGGTTCAGTTTCACAATTACCTATTTTTAAATGTGAATGTGAAATTCAAAACTATGTAATTCTATTAAAAAAATTTAAATTAATTGATTAAATTAAATTTAATAAAAAAATTATTTTAAAATTAAATTTATTTTTCATAAAATTATAATATTTGAGATACAAAATAATGCAATTAAACATATATTTTATGATAAATAATATAAGTACAAAGGAAGATCACAACAAATTGTTAAAAATATTTTTTAGTTTAATGAACAAAAATTTTAAATTATACTTAAATTTAAAGATTTATACTAAAAAGAATTTAACACAGTGTAAAATACATATAATCCCTTGTGACTTAATTGTTAACCGAAGATAATGTAAATTATATATTGATATCATAAAAATAATATAAATAAATAAATTTAAGTAATTAGATATCTAATTATTTAATTTTCAAGCTATTTAAATATAGAATTAATTATATTTAATGAGAAAATAAATATTTAAAATAAAAATAAAAATCATATTTAAAGTGATTAGTAAAAATAATTATTTAATTAAAATAAATTAAATATTATTTGATAAATTCATATTACATGAAATCATATAAACATTTTAACAATTTAAAATGCTAAAAATTAAAAATACTACATAATAACGTTACAAATCACTGTATTAAAATAATTATTAACTTAATTCAATGAATTGATTAATAATTAAAAATCTCTAAACCAATATATTTTAATTAGTTAAAAATAATTATTTAACTGATTTATCTCAATTCAATGAATCAATTTTGATATGCTTTAGGCTACTTATGACCTAAAAAATTATTTTTTTTAAAGCTTCTTATTTGGTATATTTTGGATCATTAAATAGCTCAAAAAAATTAGAAAAAAATTGTTGATTTAGTGCATTTTAGGCCACTAAACGTTTAACAAAAATTCAGAAAAAAAAGAGTAAAAATGCTCATAATTAAAAAAGTTCAGATTTTAGAAGTTTTTAGGGCATATATTTCAAAGAAAAATGAGGATGGAAGAAAAAAAGGTAAGGAAAAGTTTTTATGGTTGGAATGATAGGTTGAGGGAAAGAAGGTTTTATGGTGGTTCTAAGAGAATTAGGAGAGAGAAAGAAAAGAGAAAATGTAGAGAGGAAAGGAGCAGGGGAGGATGATGACTAGAGGAAGGGAAAAAAAAAAAAAAGATAAAGAGAAAAAAGGAAAGGATCTTTAATGATGATTTGGAGTGATGGGATAAGAGCTTAAAAAAAAGAAAAGAAAGAGATCTACTCTAAAAATATTAATGACAATGATTTAAAAGTGACTAACTCTATAATTTTAGTTATAGCAAACCCAACATAGCAGTTTATAATTTTTATTTATATATTTTTAATTATATTTATACTTTCTAAGATTACAATTTTCTTGCATGAAACTTACATTAATGATGTATATTTATTAAAAATTCACAGAATACTAAAATACATAAGAGAAAACTTACTTGTAGTTCTTAAATTTTTTTCTTTATATCTTTTGTTTTTAGAATTAGAAAAAAGTTAAAAATCTGATCAAAGTCTCATTTTAATGTTAAAAGTGATTTCTTAATTTTTGATATATTTCCTGTGATATTTTTATTTATAATTTTGAATCAAATCTGAATTTTCATATTTTTTAAGATAAAATTTATTTTTCTTAAAATACTTTTGTTTCTATTTTACTTTCATAAGATTATATTTTAGATTTTCAACAAATAAAATATAAAAGTTTTTAAATAAAATTTAAGTATTTGTACGTTCTTATGAAAAAAGAGTTATTTTCTAATAATCTTATATCGCAACAAACATTGTAAAATGTTAGAAATTTAATTATTTATCAAATACTTAAATAAATATATTGTTTTTTTTTTCAAAATACAACATAATTTGAATTAAAAAAAAAGAAATAAATAAACTGAGTTATATAGTTTTTTTTATAACATCAAGAAAATAAACAAATAGAAGAAAAAGAACTAACTATAACGGTGATCTAAGATCAATTCTCAAAAGTACCAAAACAAATTTTGGAGGACTCTTTTATACTATATTTGCACTTAAATACTTAGCTCCCTAAGTAGCCAAATTATACGCAACTAAATTGATTTCTCTAGAAATGCATATGAAGTCTACATCCCAATTTCAAGTTCTCATTTCTTTGATTCTCCAAATAACATCCTTATGCTTATGAGTATTATCGCTATCTACCCAAAGACCTTGAATTGTTTTCATCACCTCTAGATAGTCTGATTTACAAATAACCTTGCAAAACTCTTCCTGCCAACAAAGATGTAATCATTCCTCAATAGTCAGTAACTCGGCTCGTAAAGAGTCATCGGACCTGCCACAACTGGAAAAATCGCCCTTCCAGCACCCTACTGCATCACGGACTACTCCACCCATACCCATGACATTCAAATTACAAATCCAACTCCCATCAACATTTACTTTCACCCAAAGAGACTTTGGGGACACCATTGTACATTAGCCAATTAGATCTTGTTCTTTTCATGATACACCTTTTGTTGGGTATGATTCACAGCTATCATCCTACAAACATGATGAAGAGGCCATCTATTATTTGAAAAGACCATATAATTCCTTAATCTCCATATCCACCATAGGACTATCACCAGTCAACTAGCTTCCCAATGAAGTACAATTGAGCGAAACCATGCAACAAAATCCAACGTGAAAAATGAAACTCCATATGCATGCCAAACCTTATGAGAGTAAGGGCAGTCCTGCAATGCATGCAAAATGGTCTCCTGCACACATGAAAAATGTGAGCATGCACCATTTGATGCTAAATGATGTATAAACCATACTTGATTAATAGATACAGTCCTATGGAGACCTTGCCATAACAAAAGCTTAACCTTTTTAGGAACTTTCTGTAACGCCCTAAATTTTGTAATATAGTTTGATTATTAATATAAATGTTTACGTGAATTTTCATGCGTTATGTATTTATTTTATATATATATATATATATATATATAATTATATGTTGTAATGAGGATATATATGTGGTGATGTAGGCTAGCATCAGTGTGTGTGGATGGTTGGAATTGGATTGAAAAATTTGGCTGAATACCCTGCACCGAGAGATGTCTCGTTGTAGCGAGAAGGTCCTGAGAGGAAGGCATGAAATTGTCGCCTTGTCACCTCGCTGTAACTACAAAGCAACAATTTGGGATGCATTTTTTGGTACAGTTTTATTGTAGCGAGAGAGTCTCGCTGTAGCGAGAATCTACAGAAACTAGGATATAGTTTTCTTTGATATTTTTGCTGTAGAGACAGGGAGCGTTGCTACCGCGAGAGTGTCATGAGCAGAAGGGTATTTGAAGAGGTTAGTATTAAGAAAATTAATTTTCCATCTTCCTTCTTCAAAATCTCTTAGATTCTCTCGACCCAAAACCCTTTTTCACCGATTAAATTACCTCCAAAGCTGTTCGTGAGTTAGATTGAAGGTTGGAT